CGGCCTAGTTCAAATCTCCACATTTTGGTCATTTTCACTCCAAATTTGCTCTTTTTTGCATCTTTTTGCTCCAATAACCATAATTCATCATTCCTGCAACAAAACATCAAAAATACATTTCTTTAAAGTGCAATATCTGTAAAAACAGTATAAAATAGGTATGAAAATCTCAATATATTTTCCTTAGGTCACCCCATGAACTACATTCTCATTCATGAAATCAATATGTGATTCCAACTATTTGTTGACTGAGACAAAACCATCTCGGATCTTACATGTTCTCACAACAGGTATTAACATCTTAATTGGCCAAAACAAGAAGTAAATGAAGTGCAAGGTCTTAAATCATCACAACTTCTTTCAACTTTAAAGTTTAATACTTCACACAACTTCTTTTAAACATTTAATCACTTATCATTTTAAAGAAAAAGATAAATAAAACTACTCATAATTCATGGAGAAAATACAACCACACAAGAGTTTTAAAGTAGAATTCATGCACACAAATAAGAAATCTAAATTAAAAACTAAGTGTAGTCACAAAGATAAACACTTCTCTCAAATTATCTCCACCAAATATTTTGAAGTTCCTTTGAATTCTCTTTCTTCTCTCACAATACAAACTAATGCTCAAAATAAAATAAAATAAAATAAAGGTGGTGGGCGGCGACAACATTAATGTGAACTTTTGGTGGGTGGTTGTTGGCCTCTTCTTTTTGATAATCTAAGTCTTTGCTTATAAAAATCCAAGGGGTGCCTTGGTGTCTCTTTAAAAAGGTGTCTTCATTCAATGAATCTTCTAGAAGTTGTCTCCTCATAAGCCAATTGAATGAATTTTCGTGTCCATGGGTTATTTCCCACATTTTTATTAAGGGTTGCTTCAAAAATCTCTTCAAAATTCCGCTCCAATTACTATTTCCTCAAATAACTAACTTTGGCGCTTAAGCGCGGGGTACCTGGCACTTAGGCGCGGATCTGGGTGCTTAAGCGCCCCAGTTCATTCTGCACATTTCTTCATTTTTGCTCCAAATTTGACCCATTTTCACTCTGTTTAGCATTTTCCATTCATTTTATTGTACCTACAAGAAAACCACAAAAATACATTTCATTAAAGCGCAATATCTCAAACTATAAAAATACTAAATATTTTAGGTGTATCAGTATCTAAGAAGAATGATTCGTGGTGAATACTATATATTTTAGCTGTATCAGTATCTAAGAAGAATGATTCGTGGTGAATTGTGCATTAACACTAAGTTCATCAACAAGATTACCATCAAGTACTGGTTTCCTAAACCTCGCCTAGACGACCTCTTGGATTAAATACATGGAGCCACCAACTTTTTTAAGGTTGCCTTATGCAATGGATATCACCAAATCCAGGTGAGGAAAGGAGACAAGTGGAAGATTGTTTTAAAGACACGAGATGTTTTATATGAGTGGACAGTTATGCCCTTTGGATGATCAAGAGTGCCCCAACACTTTTACAATGTTGATAAGTTAGGTAATTTGGGCCCACATTAAGAAATTTGTGGTGGTCCACTTTAATGACATTCTGATATAAAGTCATTTCAAGGAGCACTTGAAACACATGAGGTCAATATTCGATGCATTGCGAGCAAAGAAGCTATATGCCCATCCAAATAAGTGACACTTTATGAAATACCAGGTGCCTTTTTCATATTATATCGTGTCTAGTTTAGGTATTTGGATGGATCCTACAAATCGAGGCAATTATTAGCTGAACTGCACAGCAGTCATTCACCAAGCTCAGGTAGTTTCTGAAACTAGTGTCATTTTACAAGTGATTCATCGGGAGCTTCAGTTCCATCACCGCCGATCTGATAGAGCTTTTGAAGGGAGAGAAATTCCAGTGGACATAGACAACTTGGAAGAGTTTCAATGCACTCAAGAATAAGGTAACCCAGGCACCACTCTTGGCATTTCCTTATTTCAACGAGTTGTTCGAGTTAAAGAGTGATGTATCCGACATAGAAATAGGAGCAATGCTGATCCAGGGAGGCCACCCTATCACTATTTTCAGTGAGAAGATGAATGATTCTAGAAAGAAATACTTGACGTATGACAATGAGTTTATGCAATTGTGAGAGCTCTTGAGCGCTGGAGTCATTACCTACTGACGAGCGAGTTCACATTGTTCATGGACCATGAGGCCTTCCAGTTCTTAAACAACCAAAGCAAATTGAAAAGTTGACAAGCAACTTGGGTGGAAATCTTAACATTATCCAGTCCATGCTCAAGCACAACACTGAGAGTTAGAACCAGGTAACAGATGCACAGAGCTATCATCACTTGCCGATCACTGCAATAAATGCTAGCATCGTGGGCTTTGAGGTAATAAAGGAGCTTTATGAAATAGATGAGAATTTTGAAAAGTTTAGGAACAGTGTAACGAGAAACCTGTCAAGCTGTACTACAAGGCTGATGGATATTTGTTCTACAAGAGTAAGTTGTGCAATTTTAGATGTTCGTTGAGAGAGTCCATTGTTCAGAAAAGCCAAAGTGGAAGACTTGCAAGGTATTTGGCATTGACAAAACTCTTGCACTCGTGAGACAATTCTTCTTTTAGCTTTGACTAGCAAGAGTTGTGGAGTAGTACGTTAGGCAATGCAGGATTTGTCATAGGACAAAAGCTATGGGAAAGAATGCAGGGTTATAAATGCCATTACCAGCCCAAGAGGCGTCGTAAAGGAATGTTAGCATGTACTTTATGGCGGAACTTCCGAGATAATGGAATAAAGATTCAGTCATGGTCATGATGCATCAATTCTCAAAGATGATATATTTTATTAGTGTGCCATTGACATTGGATGCATGACATATTGCCGACATGTATTTCAGAGAGTTTATGAGATTGCACGAGATACATAGGACCATCAGTTCATACAAGGATGTGAAGTTCCCGAGTCACTTTTGAAGGACTGTGGGGAAAACTACTCATTAAGCTTCAATTAAATTCTATAGCTCACTCTCAAATGGACGATCAGACTGAGGTAGTAAACGGGAGCTTTAAAAGTTTGCTAAGATGCTTTGTTATTAAGAATATTAAGCGATGGGATTTAATTTTAGCGGAGATCGAGTTTGGTTATAATAGATAGATGAGTGTACAACTTGGTCACTTCACTTGAATTGGTACCTCTTCTGTCTACATCAGAGATTAACAATGATGATGAAGAACAAGTACACGAGATTCAAAAACTCTACAAGGATGTTGGGAGGAATAAAACTAAACAAAACAGCAAGTACCAAGCACAAGCAAATAAGTCCAAAAAGAAAGTGACTACGCATGCTCCCTACTTCCCTCCTCGCCACAGTGGTCAGTTTGTCCTTGTTTTCTTTATTTCCTATTTTCCAGAACAATTGTGTGATTCCTTTTAAAATTTTCAGCAAGAATATATTACATTTTGTATTTCTCGGATTAACTCCAGTATCATCCAGAGTACAAAAGAATGAAAGGAGGTTAAAGATTTCCATGCTTAAACATAGAAGGGTAATTCTCCACCTTCCACTGAACTAACGGTTATGCCTTTTTGTTGTGCATATGGAGCTTCTCCCTTGCACATTCTCAAACTGCTTCTTTAAATAGGCCAAGATAAACTCCTAGCAGTTTAATTTAGAAACATTTACATATTTACCACCTAATTCCTAGATATTTACATATCTAACACCTAAATTTAGCATTTTTTTTTTACATTTATGCTCAGACATCACAAAATATAGCTATTTTAACGTTGAAAAAGATATACACCTTTCCATACATAAGAACTTGACATATGTAAAAATTACTTTACGTGTTGAATATGTAAACACATAAGAAATAACAGGCAGCTTTATAAATCTTCCTTTAATTTTATTTAATTGCAGATTTCACCATTCGCAACAATATAAAAAATTGCAACAAATTAAATTATTACATTACTGAAGCTGAGAAATTCCAACAAGCTGCAATTATATACACTACTGCAAATAGAGAAAGTAGGAAAAAGCTTAAAAAGAATTATACATGTTACAATAATGACCAACTAAGCTCAAGGAACTCGCCTTTACAGCGTTTACTTTTTACAAGAATGGTGGGCAGAAATGCAAAATAGAACTAATCAGCCTTGCTAAATTAACACACTCGATCATCTATGCAACTCAACTTCAAAGAATTTGCTTCCATTAGCATAATGAAGATTAACTTTGTTGATGGACATGAAATTTCTTCATAAATATAGCTCTAGATGGGATAAGCGCAGTGAAGATCATACAAGAATTAGAAAGAACAATGAGGTAGTAAACAGATAAAACTTCATATGTTTTCCTACTTTACCTGCAATGAAGATGAATTACAGAATAAGCAGATGATTTAAAGCAATGCGATCGTAGATGAAACATTATATTAATTGTAAGGAACATTTACATACGTAGCACACAATTCTTATATATTTATGTATCTCACAACTAAACTTTCATAATTACACGTATAGTATTCAAAAATTTAATATCACATCAAAAATAGCACTAATTACCACTACTTAATAATCAAATCCATCTTTTCATGCACAGGTAAAGTGCTACGCGCGTAAATATGAGGTGTGAGACACGTAAAATCATAAGAATTGTGCGCTGCGCCTGTAATTTATCTAATTGTAATTACACACAAGATTTTTTTCAGGACATGTGATTGTCACAAAAAAATCATTCTCTTTATCAAATTAGTGATTTTCATTCAGGCTTTGTATCATGGTTATGGATATTAGTAGGTTTTTATGTCAAAATTATTGTCATTTTAAATGCCAACACCCTTTGTCAATTGAGATAGACACTTGTTATTTGGGATATATTTCTTGCTACTTTGTCATTATTGTTCATGAAAATTATGGCTTCTCTTATATTGAGGAGTATTAGCTGTAGAATGATTGCTGACTGTTGAACAAATAAAGGGAAGTTTACATACGTATCAGACAATTCTTATGTATTTACATATCTAACACATTAAGTTTGATATTAACATTTATAAATAACACCCTGGTGTGTTATAAACCTATGCATGAAAACAAGTATCTCACATTTCAAAAGTTAGTAATAGTAGAATTTTTTATGTGATATTAAAGATTTTAGCGGAGTCCATGTAAATAACAAAATTTAGTTCCTTGATATGTAAAAATATAAGAACTCAGTGGCATCTATATAAATGCCCCCATAAATAAAAGGCTTTTTTTGGTCCCTTGTCTTCTTTGTCCTAAATGTTTCCATCGGCACAAAAAATAATATTGATTCCCTTCTCCCTAGTTCAAAAATCTACCGTGAAGTTAAAAATAAACTCAATCTGAAAGTCCCAATTCCCATCTACAAATAAGCTCCACATCATGAAAAGACAAATATTCCCTCTGCAGCTTTTACTAACCTCCTATATGTAATTTCACCCTCCAAACAATCATCCTAAAATCTTTAAATTTGGAATGCTAATTGTCCCCAAACAAATACGAAATGAGCTCAATTTTGTAGGCTATATCATTTGTATAATCATTGAACAAACTCATTTTTTAAAAATGCTTAATCGTTATTCGAGTTTGAATTTGAACATAGACGCTAACCAAGGTACATGCCCTCTTGTTGAGCCACAATTAAAAAAAATATAAAACTAATTACTTAATCTACTCTCCCAAATATAATCTAAATTCCACGAATTTCTTAAACTCAAGCTTGTCCCAATCAAGTACAATCTAACCTAAATGTGTTTTGACCAACCCAACATGATTGAGCCCCAATAAAAAAAAAATTAAACTAATTACCTAATCTGCTTTCCCAAACCTAATCAAAATTCCACCAATTTCTTAAACTCAAGCCTGGCCCAATCAAGTTCAATCAAACCTAATTGTGTTTTGACCAACCCAACTTGATTGACCCAACCCACCCAACTCAATAGCCCAACCCAATGCAGCTATGAGCCTAAATGTTAAAAAGGCAAAAAAAAGTCATTTTGCAAAAATTTATCAAATAATATGCAATGAAAAATCCAGATTTTCAGAAGGTTCTTACAAACTGTGGATAAGTTGTTCTTGAAGTTCTATGAGGAGAGTTTTACACTTAAAACTCCTAATAGTTTTCTTTTCATATCCATACACAAGAAAAACTATTTGTACCTTTTCTGCAAGATGGATTTCTTATCCAACTTTTCTTCAAATATAATTTTCGATACGATTGAGTTCATTAGCATAACTGTACAAGGACCAATAATTCTTTCTCCAATAGCATTTCAAATCTATAGACGCTTTAAATGAGTCACTGCTTTAGTCAGTATGATGCTTCATGTGTTTCTCATAGTTATGGTCTTCAGTGATTTATTGTTATGTCATACTTATTTTGTGTGTAACAATCATATCACTGGTCATGACTAATATTTGGTTAAACTATAAAGGAAAAATAATTTTTTTCATTTTTAGACATGTAGGAAATTAGTTCATCATTACTAAAATTTTATTTGTCATTCTAATATGTCTGCCTTTATAAACAATAGAAATTGAGTTGTATTTTGAATGGAGTTTGATTGTTTAAATTGAGAAATGACAATTGCCCTTAAAGTTATAAATTCAAATTAATAGGTTGGGTTCAGATTCAATTTGACAAGTTCAAGTCCCGAATAAAGTAAAATTAAGCCTAATACATTTATTAAATGGGTTGAAAATTTCAACCCTGAAACAAACTGCTAAACCCAATCTGACACATCATGGCATGAGTTGGGTCGCCGTACCGTAAACTTTGAAGGAGGTAGAAATGATCATATGTTTTGTACACACCAACTAAAGAAAATGATTACTATTAAATATGAATTTTTAAAAAATACCAACAACAACAATAAAGCCTTAATCCCACTACGTGAGGTCGGCTACAAGTATCCTTTTTCTCCATTGCGTCCTATTTAGTGTCATATTTTCATTTAGTTCCAATAAATTAAAATCATTTTTTATACAATAAGCCCAAGTCTTCCTAGGTCTACCTCTGTCTTTCTTAACATAAATCGAATCTAAACCATCTACTCTCCTAATCAGATCATCAGATGGTCGACGTTTAATGTGATCAAACCATGTAAGATAGCTTTCTCAAATCTATTTAGATTTTTGAGTTCACAGGTGCAAGACTTAAATTTTGTTCATGCCATTTCAAGCTGAACTAAAATAAACTCAAATCCTACATGAGTTAAAATGAACTCAAAATTTCCGTGTTGAGTTCAAGTTATATTTTCATGTGTGGTTCAATATCAACTCAAATACTCGAGTCCGAATAAACTCAAAATTTTTGAGTTTGCAAAACATATGATTGAAACCGTGACCTTGGAAAGACAAGCTTCTTCTCTAACTAATAGACCACAAATCCTTCTTCTCTCTCCTTCTAGCTCCCTTGACATAAAACTATAAGATCAAATCTCCCTACTCACTTTCCCTTATGCCCCCTTTTACTCAAGGCATTGCTTTTTTTTATAATTTATTTATTCTCCTTCATTTGGCCCCTCCAGTTCTTCATCTACATTGGATAATAATCATTATTGTAAATAGAAGCATTAAATTAAATCATGATCACACATTCTCTTTCCATCTCTTCATTAATTTATTAAAGAAATATCTAAAGGAAGACACAAACTACAATCTCTTGAGACTTAATATATTATATCACTAAAATAGGATAGATATTTCACAAATAAAGATTCTCAACCCTTAATTTACAAACAAGAGAAAAAAAAAATTACATCCTGTTTGAATTTATATTCAAAAATAATTTATTCTTGTGAAAAGTTATGAGGAATAAATTATTTCCTTAGAATGGATTTATTTCCATTCCTATTTTAGGCTTTCTTATATTTATGTTGTTTCCTTTATCTCCAAATAATTATTATAAATTAATTATTTGAAGATATTAGGTGTTATATCTTTTCTTTCTTGTTATCTTTTTTTTTATTGTCTTTCCTACTCTAAGATTTACGGTACGGCGTTTCTCTTTCCACCAGTTCTTCAAAGGGTTTGTGTTGGGTGGGTGAATATCGCAAGCACAGTTTAAGAACACAACAATCGTGTTGATGGCGTGCTTCTTCACGAAAATGATGCCAGCAAAAGTTGGAGTTTGTAACCAGCGGCTTCCTCCAGAACAGCATGTTTTTCTCTGGAGCTTTCCCAACAACAGACCCTCCTCCTGAGCTTTTCCTGTAGCAGGCCCTCCTCCAAAGCTGTTTCCTGTATCAGACTCTCCTCCGACACTTTTCGCTGAAAACGTTTTCCAACAGAGCTTGTCCCTGCAACAGTCCCTCTTCCAGAATCTTTTCCTGCAGCAGCCCTCCTCCGGAGTTTTTTCCTATTTCAGACCCTCCTCCGAAGCTTTTCCTGCAGCAGGTTCTCCATCGAAATTCTTCCTGCAGCAAACTCTCCTCAAGAGCCTTTTCTTTCATCAACCCCTCTTCCAGAACATTTTCCTGCATCAAGCCCTCCTTTGGAGTTTTTTCCTATATCAGGTCGTTTGTATCTTTTCCTTCAGAAAGGCCTACCTCCGGTGTTTTTTCCTTTTTTTTCTGCAGGTCATACCCTGCAGCTTTTCTTGTTAGTTGTCTATTTCCCTGCAAACTCCTCTTCAGCATTATCTGTAAGAGTTTTCTTCTTACCTACAGACACTAAACTAACTACAGTCAAAGACAACCGGAGTCAACTAGAAGTTAGTTTCTCCTGTAGAAAGTCTACTGTCCTGCAAACCAAATGACAACATTACCTGTAAGAGTCTTCAGCCTACCTATAGACAGACACTGCAGGAACATCAATCAAAGACAACCACAGTTGTCTATTTCCACAAACTCTCCCGGATGAGTCTTCTGCCTACCTACGGATACTGCAGGAACTACAGTCAAAGACAACCGCAGTACGAGACAAAGACTTCAAATTCTACCTCATAGGATCTTTTTCTAATGTTTTCTAATCAAGTTGAGTATTGTTTTCAGCCATCTTTCAACTTGAGGGGTGTGTTACAAGATATACAACAACAACAACAATAAAGCCTTAATCCCACTACGTGGGGTCAACTACATGAATTCTTTTTCTTCATTGTGTCCTATTTAGTGTCATATTTTCATTTAGTTCTAATCAATTAATATCATTTTTTATACCATAAGCCCAAGTCATCCTATGTCTACCTCTGTATTTCTTAACATGTCAAATCAAAACATCTACTCTCCTATTCAAATCCTGAAATGGTCGACTTTAAGAAATTATTTAAACCATGAAAGAACTAACAAGTTTCAGTGTTTTGAAGTGCGCTTCGGCGAGACAAAGCAAGCGTCAAGCGATTCAC